GATAAAAATCTTTAAACACGGTAAAGTGTCTACCGTAATACTAAGTGTCTTTGATCTAAAGCGTCGTTTCAATGAATTGACGGTATATATTTGCTATGAAATCACGTAGAGGTGCGGTAGTTACAGTGTTTTGAAGAAATGTCATTTAAAGTAGTAGCTTGATTAATGTCAACATCCATGCTTAGCAGGATGTCATTACAACAATGCATATTGTAGTCTACCGTAATTAATCCTAAGTGCCTTTAATTGAGCGCTGTTTCAATTAATGACGGTAGTATCGATTTCATTAGAGTCGGAAAAAACTGAAATAGTTGATTTCAATGAAAAAACTATTTTTTTGTTGTTTTTCTTAATCCTGGCGGTTTTTTTTTCACTTCCATTTTCAGGGAAATCATTCGTATGGGTGGATTGGAACCTGAGGATGCCTATCCCTATGACGGGAGAGGCGAAACCTGCCATCTCGTACGTTCGGTGAGCTATATTAGATTATTTTTGAGTTAGAACATTTCAAGAATTCAAATTCATTCAAAGGTTTTATGAGAAGTTCAAGAAATTACACTTTCTTTTAGGAAATAGCTGTATACATCAATGACTCCGTAGAACTACCTCATGATGAAGAAAGTATGAAAGCATGGTTGGTTAACAAAGGCCCTATTTCCATAGGTAAGTAATTGGAAATATTTAAAGTGTTCTAAGGAAAGCTCTGATCAGGAGGTTAAGTGAAGTTTAAGAGTGTAAAAAGATATGAACAATATATGGAAAAACGGATTCTCTAGGGAGGTAGTTCTCAGACGTAGCAAAGCTGAGGTCGGCTAAACGCTCGCCGATCCGGCCATTCCAACAATCCTTGACTACAAGTATCTCTTCGGTACTTGCAGCGACTTCCTGGTCGATCTCGCTTACGCCTTTTTAATCGGTGGTGGCTGATGTTTGTCGTTTCATGTACCCTAGAATATGAATTAAATTAGCAATGGGACAAAAATACTTTGAGGAGTTTTCCTTATCGCTGAGTAGCAAAAAGAAAACATAGCGAAAGGTAATAATGGAGCAACTTGAGGAGGAAAAAATGTGAGAATC